AAGTAGACTTTTAATTTTGTGTTTATAAATTCTGTACATTTAATTAAGTTATTGTTAATTTTCTATTGGTTTAATGTAAGTGGCTATTGTTCCAAACGACAATACTAAGGAAGGAGCAGTGTTACGACAGCGGAAGTCACGTGATCCTGGTAACACGTAATGTGTTCCAGAAATATCGGGGAACATCACGAATAATCCAGTATTTGCTAGGCGCCCTCTATTCTTGTATATAAGTGCACCAGACAATTAATCGGGATGGTATATCAGACAGAGAGATTGAAGATATAGACGGACATTTGAGTCAAGCGAGGTATTAAATAAAGTGCGTGAATCATTCATTGAGAATTATAGTGCGTGTTTAAGTGACCGTGGAAATCAAGTGTATTGCAAAGTTGTATTGAGAAAGAATAAACTAGTTTTATTTAAGAAAGGACTTGTATCGCTGAAGTTTCTCGGGAAGAATTTCTACCGGAAATTATCAAACGAGCAGAGACTTAGCAATTCGAAATACTTTTGTAATTTTGGCGACAGTTTATGGTAAGAATGATATTTTTCTATCATTACTATGCAGTACGAAACATATACGTTATACACTATATATGTGTGGAGGAAATTACAAAAGTGTGTTACATTATAACACAAAGAGACTGTAATGTCTTCTAATTGCTACTCGATTACTTTATACATTATTTCTAACTCCCTTTGTACTTGTAGAATAAGCTTCCTCAAACTTCTTAAAAACCAGGTTTCAACATCTGTGGTGAGAAGAGTACAGACAGCCTATGGCATAGCTTTGCACAACAAACAAATTTAATTTATGACCAACTCGAACTTCATTCCAACAGTTCATTTTGTGTCTACTTCATGACATTTTTTCCCACGTCCAGTAATAGCAATGTACTGGTTCCCCTACACCCAACACATTAAAACTAAGTTTTTCAACTGGAAAAACTGTGGCATTTCATTGCAGAAAATTGCTGTATAATTGGTTGAAAGTCTATGTTTTTGAGGATGTCGCTTTCAATGCACATGAGGGAAAGCAGATTCAACTGCTACTGTTCCATTGTGCTGCGAAGATGATTCTTTGTAAGTTTCCACCTTTAAAATGAATGCTCTCCAGTACAGTTGGTCACCATCATGCACGTAAGTATTCTGAGTGCAATTTCAATGTATCTGAAATGAGTTTGCTGTACATGTCTGGAAGAGTCTTGCATTCTTCATCGTGGACAATTCACTGCTTGAATTGCTTGCATTAATTGAGTAATTCACTGTAATCAAGACCTTCATGATAAGCATTAGCCAATTTTTCACACCCTTGACTAAGCTCATTACAGTCAATTGTTTTTAACTGACTGAAGAAGGAAAACAGAATTCCAATAATTTCCTAGGCTTCTGCACGTTTAATCAGGTGAGTGTTCAGAGAGTCCAGAATAGGAAGGTATGTTTCCATCTTGAATTTTTCACTTTCGTGGAGAAGTATCTGTTCCACTGACCCATCATATCTGGTAAGATGCGCACTTCGCTTTCTTGGACGTTTGTCTCCATCACTATATTTCGAATCTGGACACCTGCGTTTAGCCTTCGCTTCATAGTCACTGAATTTGTCTCTCATGTCCTGAAGATAGGCTTTCAGAGACTTGAGGAGATCAATGGCAACAAATATGTCCACATCTTTTGACTGCAAAATTTTACTTGTTTTGTTCCCTCTTTGCAGAATGTCATTCCAAAGAATTGTCAAAAAGATGGTCTCTAGCTTCTCCATTTTCTTGCTCAATCCTTCTGCCTCGCATCTTGTGTTCCAGCGTCAACTGCAAGAGCATCCAATGCATCTTGAATGTTCACAAACCTCTATGAAGAGCAGTGACAGCATCGAAATGTGCTGACCATCTCGTGTCAGAAAGACACTTGACCACAATATGATTATTTCCCAAGGATGATGTCAGAACATTCCAGCGATATGTGGAAGCCGAGAAAAAGGAATACAAATGCTGAACAAAGTCAATGAAGGAGACGGTCTGTGGACCACACTCTGCCGCTTTTACTCCCACCAAGTTCAGACTGTGTCCAGTACAAGGAATATAAATAGCAAATTCATTTAGTTCACGGATCCGTGCTTGCAATCAAGTGTAGCATCCTGACATATTTGAAGCATTGTCATAAGACTGACCACAGCAGTTTGATAATGCAGGAACTCTACAACTGTGTCTGCTAAATTCTTTGCCCCGTGAGAAAAGATGGGGATGAATTTGAGGAAACATTCCACCAGCTCACTTCCACAAATGTACCGGACAGTAAATGTCAGTTGATCAATATGTGAGATGTCCAGAGTGGAATCGACATTTATTGAATAATACTTTGACTCTTTCATTTCTTCCAGAGTTGCACAAAATACCTGTTGTCCCATTATTTCAAAAAATTCTTCACAAATGTTTGCCGATAGATATGATGGGTTCCCCTTTCCAGCATTTCCATACACTTTTAAATGTTCTTCCAAAAAAAGAGTCAAACTTACCCAACAGTTCTAGAATGCCAAGAAAGTTTCTGTTTTTTGAGGAGCCAATAGTTTGATTCTCCCCACGAAATTCCAAACTTCTGGAGGCAAGAAAGGGGATAACAGAAACCACACGCTTTAACACTTTATGCCAGTACTCCTTTTGTGAATGATACTGACTTAGCAATGCAGAATCCACACAATCACTTTCTTTGTGCCGAATCGAATATTCCAACAGGCACCTGCGATGTTCTTCTCCATTTTCGTGCTCTTCAACGACATTGCTGTGCTTCCAATCATTGAATCCTGATGTAGCGAAAGGAGATTCTTTCTTGGACAATAAATGACATGTTTAGCAATACAAACAACCTTTGGATGGTGAATATAGCAGCCATTCGCGTTTGAATAATTTGTTTGTTAAATATCTTGTCTGTGTTTTTTTATCCTTCAGCATACACACGGCGGGATTTCGAAAAGTCGCAATCGTGATTTTGACATTTTGTCGGCCCATTGAGAATCCAATGGTCTACTGTAGCAGTATCTTTCGTGTTCCATAGTCCTGGATCTGTCAGAGCGTGACCGTAAGTCACATTCACATTCTCGGTTACCGTTGCGGATTCTTGTATTTCTTCTAGTAGTTCAGTAGGAGAAGAAGCTCGTGTATCTGGGGGATCAGATGAAGAAGTGCTTGCAGGAGTGGAAGTAAGTGTTGATGCTGTATCCAGATCAGTAGCAGTAGCTTTTGCAACAGGGGTGACCAAGCCGATAACTTTGAAAGTTTGCTATGTTTTCCTTTTTCATCTGCAGTTCTTTTCCTCTTCTGTGCTCCACTAGCATATGTATGCTTCATTTCTGTTAAAAAAGGTGCAAAATTATAATTTACAAAAATTTAAAATGTACATCTGGAAAACACGTGATTTTCGTGACGACCTAATTAATGTATATATTTTATATAATTAATCATTCTATCGCTTCTAGTGTCCAGTTATTTTTCATGTATGTTTTTTTGGGTAGTAAGGTTGATTTGCATGCTCGTTCAATCGACCCAGTTACTTTACGACGAACGGGGCTAATGTGATAAGCAAATAACTCAGGTAAGGACAGTAATTTAAAAACAAACACCTAGTAACAGCACTGCATTTAGGTGTGGTCATGCATATTCACCTTTACCATGAATTCAAGGAAGGGAGTAGCCAGCAATTTTCTTTGGGGTCGCCAATTCTTTGAGGGTTTCCGGTTTGGGGAAAAATATGAGTGAGGAAACATTTATGTCGCCTTGGCTGAACTGCGCATGCGTACAACAGACTGCGTCACTGATGGAGTCCAGGTGCAAAGTCCTGTTATGGGTCCAGGAAGCTCCTCAAATGTTATGAATTCAAAGCCAAAAATTGACCCATTATGTTCTGAGCTTTATCCCGGGCCTATACCGAATATTATATGATTTATAAATTATTATTTTTTTAATATTTATGTATAGAAGTCATAATGACAACTGCATTTTATTTTAAAGTGCATGTCGGCTTAAGCTTTCTATAAATACCAATTTCATGCTAATTTGCATGATATTTGTATGCAAATTAGGTGATTTTTTTATGAGTGGTGTTTTTTTTCATGAAAATTTGTTATTTGGCTCGAAAAAGTTGAATGAAATTGACTCTTCGGGCATAACATGATGTGGCATGAACATTTATTCACTTATTTAGTAGTTATGTGGTGTAATTTGAGCATATTTTGAACATTTTTGATCAACAAAACCGTAAATGACTCAGTGTGTAAACAAGTGGGTAAGCCTAGGTTCCATTTACTGTACAAACATATGTTAGGCTAACGAGCCTAACGTTAGAATGCTTTGAACAGACTAGCGTATCGGTTTTTTATTTTATTTTCGATTTAACTTCATAATCATTAATAATATTATAAGAAATTGTTTTTTTACTTGGCTGGACAGTATGGTACCCAAACAAGTAACAACTAAATTATTTACCGTATCTTCTGGCTGATCTTGAACCATGCCATGGGGGAAATTTCGGGTTGCTGAAAAACGTTGGTATTTTTGATAATAATTAGGCCATGGAGTAATAACACTGGCTGAGGTGGCGCTATTTTTTTATTATATATCAGCTGCATTGGCTGAGCTATTTGAGAGTTCATTCAACTTTTAATAACTCTTGAATATTTGCATTAGGACGGCTTGTGTTGAATTACACGTATATAAAAACGCAAAAAGTGCTGCATTGCCGGCCAGGTAAGGAGGCCCCGATTTCACATTAACGCCATTGCTATTTAATAATATGAATCTTAATTTTTATTATCAGATTGAATCGCGGGGGCCCCGGGCAACTGCTCATGCGATAAGACGGCCCTGCTACTACAGGTTATTTTATAATTTTATTTCAAGATGTGTGTTACGTGAATGGCTGAGTTATAGTGAATGCTGCATGTCGGATAGTAAAATATTTAATACAAAAGTTTAAGTGTTTCAGACGTCTTGTTTCGTCGCGATTATGAAGTCAACTGAGGTGTGTAATTTTATATTTGTGTTAAGGACGTGTTTTGTTGAAATTGAATTTATTTTAATATTTCTGAAAATATTGAAAGAAATTGTCTTTGTTACATAATGGACCGTTGCATAAATCTGAATACTAATTATACAAAATAGAGCATTTGCACGGCTGATAATGATATACTTATCACCCTATTTGTATCCATAAAACTACCTACAATAGTATATTTAGCATTTATTATCAAACAAAGCTCCTGCCATCTGGAGAAGAATGTAAGTGTTGGAATTGAAAATATTAATTTGTGATTCTAAATTTGGTACTCAAAGTGACTAATGTAAAGTAACTTATTATTACGAACTGTTTTAGAAATAGAATATATTACGACTAAGTAGGTCTTGGCATTACTGGCAATGGATAAGAATTACTATTCAACTTGAATTTGAAATTTTTCAACAGTGCTATCCTAGTATAGAAATTTTAAAATGCTACTGGAATTTTGTGGTAAACTTAAAAGTCGATAATCTTGTTTTTAAGCTCTACTAAGTTCAATTAATTTATTATGTATTATATTTGTTTATAATATTGGATAAAAGAGTTATTATACCAGATTAAGTTTTTAACAAAGATTTTAAGCAGTATGCCATATCTTGAACAGTTGAATGGAAATGAGATAAAATAAGATGACTGCATCAATTAAGAGCTGGTTAAGAACAAATTGGGAAGTTTAAAAAATGATATGGTTCCTGGGCCAGATAATATTTCCCCAAGCATTTCAAATGAGGTTAAACTTAAAAATTGAATATGTGAGCCACTTACTACTATTTTTTGTCAGTCTTTGAATATTGGGCAGGTACCAGAGGATTAGAAGTTAGCTAATGTAACTCCTTTTCAAGGGAGGTGATAAAAATTGTCCCAGTAATTATAGACCCATTAGTCTTGCATCAGTTGTGGGAAAAGTTTTGG